TCCTGCTGACAGAAACAACAAAGAAAAAAAACATCCCATGCATCCTTTGTGCTTTGGAAAGTCGTACAGAAAGCATTGTTTTGTTCCATTGTTTTCCTCAAAAAGAGCCTCAAGTAAGTGATTCGTTGTGAACCACTAAAAAAAAGAGAGCGTCTTCCTTAGAGCTACTTAAAAGAATTTTTCAGGAAGTACAAGATATATTTGTAGTACACACATGTGCCAGTCCAGGACATTAGCATAATTGCTCACTGAAGTACCTTTCCTGTTATGTCAGTTAAGGAGAATTTTTGTTTGTGACTATACGAATCAATCTACTGCAGGTTTTCTGGGAAAAGGTAATTAAACTTAAATCCCATTAATACCTGTAGCCAATTTTAGTTTAATCACTAACGTTTCTCTTCCGTAGCCTAGGAGCCATTGCCATATATACAAAGCTATATTAAAGAAGGAATGCATCCATGATCCCAGTAGGAGATTCCTTATGTGACAGTCAAATTAACACACAGTGCACAGCATGTCCGGATAATAAACAGGAAAAACCTCCAAGTGATCTGAAAAAGAACAACAGGAGGAAATGGGGGGGGGAAGGGGAGTGGTGGTGGGGGGGAAGGAGCATGCATGCAACTGCTCTTTAGGCAAACTCAAAATCAAGTGCACCATCAGTGTGCGGGAAATACATGCAACCTCTAATGGGAAACCTTTTAAGAAAATGCATACCACTTTGTGAAGAGGCTACATTCCTCACACCAAGCCTCACCCTGGATAAGCCATGTATATAAAATATGTGTAGAAATCTGTCCTGAAATAAGTACACCTCTTCCTCTCAAGCACACCTCCCCTTAGCCATTACTTCCAGACACAAACACTAGGCTATCAGAATAAATTTCCCTGCCACAAATTGCTAGGCCAGGAGATAACTGGCCTCTCTAATCCAGTGCTGGGGACACATGCCCATCCCATCCCCTTGCTCAGCCTACCTGGATGCCTGCTCCTGGGAGCAGCTCCCCAGGGCTGCCAGCTCCTCCTCCTCTGGAGACCACGAGGATTGAGATGGCCAAAGCTCCACCTTCCCTCCCTTGTGCTCCAGCTGGTGGGCTTGAGCTGGTAGAGCAAGGACAGGGCTCATAGGCTCTGCAAAGAGCAGTTACCCAGTCAGGGTCAGGAGTGGCCCAAGGTGACAGGCACATGGGCACTTGACACACCACGCTCACTGTGGCTCTACCATGCCCAAGAAACACTGGCTTCTGCACATGTGGTCGGCATATGTGTAATAAATCTGACATGTTTGGGATGCATTTGGCATGCTGTGCAGTGCAGATCTGCCTTACATGTGCTGTGGGTCTTATATAGTCTTCATATGCCAGACTTGGTACACACACACTGCACTGTTCATCTGCAGCACCAGGCAGGTCCAGAGTTTCAACCCATATAAGAGCCTGGTAAAGAGTTCTTGTCCCTGCATCTTTTCTGCCCTGAAATACATTGTTCCCTGTCCAGGAGCCCTGAACAGAAAAGATTCTAACACTGCAGCCTGCCACATATCCAGAGCTGGTGGAGGACACCTAACATCACAGATGTACCAAAATGCTGTAGAACTCCTCCACAAGACAGGAGGTAGAAAGGTAGTTGCAAGGCATGATGTCTTCCCTGGACTATGCCAACTGAGGACAGCTGCAAAATTTGCTATTTCAGACTCAGTGCAAGAAGCAAAGATTTGTTGCAGCCCTAGGCAATGTCTGGCACACTCCAGATTGTGTTTCAACTCACTACTGTCCCTGTGTGTAAAATTGGTCTCCATATGTGGGGCCAGCATGGCAGAGCTGCTAATTTTGGAATCCACCATAGATGAAAGTGGCTGTATCAGAGCTTTCATGTCATCTTTTGTGTCCTCCCTTGATTTGTATTTCTGTATGTGACGAAGTTACTCAGCTTTACAGTGATTTCCTGAAATGAATCCCAGCCAATTTCTGGTGCTTTTTTTGGTAGTAGGTTATTTGTTGTGTTGATTTGCTTCCTATTTTTTTCTCTTGCATCACTTCTTCCTGTGTGATCCTGAATTCCTCTAGTGCTCTTTTCCTCTCCAGGGAAATTAATCTTGGTTTCCTGCAGAAACACTTCCCTTCTTCTCTGACACACTGATATGGGAAGAGAGGATCTGTCACACCACCTCAGAGCAGTGCTGCCTCTGCTCCCCTCCCTTATCACTGGCAGCAGCCAGCAGGAGTCATCTGGGGGAATGAAACCAACAGTGGAACAACACTAGGTTTCAGAGGTGGGTTCTCCTCCTGCCCTCCACTTCCCCACTGCTTCCTCAGTGAAGTGACCAGTACAATAGCCCACAAGAAATGATTTGTGGGTGTCTGTATGTACAAACCCCATGTTATAACACCTGAATTACTAGTTCCCATCTTATATAGGCACCTCATATACTCTACACCCTGACAACCATCCCCAGCACCTCAACTGAAAGATTTTAGTTTGTTTGGTTTCTATTCCTTTCCCTCTAAATCAGAAAGCACACCTACCACAGTAAGTTCATATTAGCAAACAAGCCTGAATAATAATAGTAGTATATATTTTAAAATTAAAAGAACATCTACTGTCCATTAGCTAACTGAGTTTAAACTGGTAAAGCAGTTTTTATTACTGTAAAAAAAAACTACTCATACTGTAGCTGCAAATAAAAGTAAACTGAAGTACAGTTAAGGAAACAGATACTTCAAGAGGGAAGAAAATGAAATTCTCTCAGACTTGTCTAGCACTCTAATGTCCTATGAATTACCTCCTTTCCTCACCAGCCCTTTGGAACAGCCAAAGGAGACTCCCCATAGGAGCACATGCTGGTAAGGAAGTTTAGTGCAGACAAAGTCAATAAAACATAGAGCTACATACCAAACCACCAACCATGAATACCTTAAGGTATTAAGGTAATTCCAGCAGCCAGGGATGTAACAAGCACATTAACACTGCTTCCAAAGACCACATTATCAAGAAGTCAAAGCCAGCTTGCATACACGCAAAAATGTTCCTATTGCATGAAGCCAGATTTGCTTGTGCAAAATCTCTTTTGGCAGACACAACTGATTAAAAGTGTACAGGAGCATGACTTGTTCCAATGGCCTCAGCTGTTTGTTTTTTTTCAAATCAGATATGCTTTGCCACTTGAGCAAACCCTCAGGCATGCTTCACTGCCATTCTGATACAGGGGCAAAACTTGAACTGTTTTTTCAACCATCAAAAACCATTAACAGGCTTGGCATTTGGAAAAAAAAGCAGGGGTGAGGAAAGAAAACACTGAAGAGAACTACATAATCTTTAGAACTGCATAATCTTTAGATCTTTCCTAAGTCTGATGTGGTTCAGTAGGCTATAAAAGGCCCTCCTGAATTCTCAGTGCTCCGCCTAGCATGAACACCCTCCTCCCTTTGGGCTATGCACCAGGTTATGCTGCACAATTGTCAACCAGGAAAATCCTCCTCTGTAGCTGAGTTACAGAATACAAAAGGACAGAGCAGAGGTTGCAAAAGGATGCTTCCCCTCTGCCACCAGCTGCAGCATGCAGTCAGACAGCTGGACACTGCTATCCTGGACTTCATGAGAGAATGCTAGGACTGATCAATGTTGAGAGCAATGGTAGGCAGGCTGCCAGTCAGTCATATGGTGAAAGATGCTACCCTTAAAAACTAAGTTAACACCTTTTTATTTTCTTTCACAAAAGGACTGAGCCAAGAGCGCTGTAAATACCCCTTCAAGTCCAAATCAGTTCCCACAGCTGTGCCTTTAGCTCCTCATCCCTCTGTAGAGCCATACATCAAAGCAGGGCAGCCCCGTGAGTGGTGGCTGTCCCTTGTCTCAGGCACCCAGGAGCAGGTGGCAGCAGAGGCAGAGCCAAGCCTGCAGGCAGGGTAGCGCCCAGGGGCTGCAGAACTGACTGTGGTGGAGGTGGGGGCAAGTGGTGCAGTGAGGGAGCTGGCACTGTGTTTTTTCCTCACTCATGGCAGGGCCAGGGCATCAACCATTTACAGATTGGTGTAAAGAAAGCAAAAAACTAAATCCATCTGTGTCTCTCCTAGGCTGTCTGCTTGACATCTGACCATGGAAGATGAATTAAAGCTGGTGAAGTCTCATAGTGCATGGTTTCCAAGGGAGACTTGTACAGGATTCTTGTTCTTTCCAAAGGCGGGATGTAAGGCTTTGCAGTTACTATTGATTTACACAGATGAGCCTTGGAAACTACACTGATGCAAGCAAATAGGGAAACAACCAAGCAGGCAGAGAGAAAGCAAAAGATGACTCAAAGCTATTTGAGGTTAGTGGAGAAGCTCCCAATGATTTCGAAGGTCTCTGGATCAGGCCTCCAATTGGAGAAAAAGCACATTCTGCTAGCAT